GGAAAAATACCTGAAAGTTACGTTCATTGTATGTGAGTCAACCTTTTCCACAATTCGCGATTTTTTTCATCCGTTAAGGTATTCAAAGTTGGCGGTGTTTACTCACCTGGAGATTTAGTTCGCTTAAACAAATCGCCATAGTAAAGGATTTCCAACAATACAGGAGCATATACACTATACACAGACATTCTACATTATGAAGGGGCAAGTTTGAAAACGTAGATTTTGAGAACTCAATCTCATTGTGAGCCAGCGGCATATACACTATACACAGACATTCTACATTATGAAGGGGCAAGTTTGAAAACGTAGATTTTGAGAACTCAATCTCATTGTGCGAATAGCCAGCGGCTTCATTTGCTGTTTTAGGGTGCCCAAATTGGATTATGATCAGGGACCTGTGGTCACCGAATACAAACATCAGGGCTTTAACCCAATCAGACTTGGAATAATAAAGTCTGCATATCGTCTAGTCTTGCGCAGCCTGAATTTCCACCCACCATGGGGCTCGAGAAAATCCACTTCAAGCATTATTTTTGTAACTTAAACCAGAAGTGCAAAGCGTTTGAATGTCATCTGTGGACTCCGTGGTTGAGGGGATATAGGCCTCGACTGAACAAACAGGTCTCAGTTGTTGGTACTGTTATATGGAAACAGCGCAAGACAGTGAACGAAGGAGCATCAGTTACGGTCTTTCAAGCTGCACTTTAAGTAGCCGTTGTACTAGTCTTACTTCACTGCATGACCTTCCGAAGCTGATGTTTTCATCATATCAGTCACCAGATGTACGCTTAGTGCGCAGGGCGTCCTAGTCATGTATCTATTACTAGTCACGTACGTGACTGTAACACTGGCAATTCGGACACTTTACGGACGTCTCATTTACAGCAGGTATTCGGTGGATACCGGAACACGATTGGCTGTCAAGTCCATAATTTCGACGAATCGTAATAAGACTTGATGGACCCCACATCAACCTCGCCATTGGACCAATTACGGGTCGCCGGGCTTATTGTCCGTCACAGCTGCGGACGTGAAGTCAGTTTGATGTGGAATTCGCATACACCGTGCCTTATGCTGCTGCCGCATCCGCTTCTGGTGTGACACTCCACTCCATTAAAGTGGCTCATTTCCCCATCTAAACTATGCCTGCTTTTCATGTTTCGGCTGATTTTTCGTCCCGAACGCACGATAGTGGAAGCTTTCGCTGACTGGTATCAGTCCTCAAAGAACTATTTCGGGGTGACAGGCCTGCGCGTAACAATTCTAATAATATTAATCTTTTAGCTGTAACACCCTTTCGAGGCCTAGCTATCATGCCACCCGAAGAAAGCACGAGGACTGGGGTACTGCCAGGTTGCCCAAGCCCAAACGGGGAAATCGATGTTCAGAGGTCGGGTTCGAACAACGTAACTATGCATTACTACACCTCTGCACCGTGCATACACCCGTGCACAAGCCCAATCTCACGATCATGGGGCATCGCTCATTTCACCCACCTCTGGTAGGAGCAATGGCGAACGAGACACTTTGGACAGTTCAGAGTTTAGTTTGCGGAGGACGTATCCCAGCCACTGTAGCGTGTCACTTGAGCAACTATAGAAGAGGCGTTAGACACTCTGTTGTTTGGACGTCGTTTGAGTATTATCCTTAAGCAAGTGGTCAGATTCTTCGCGTTTACGGAGATCGACATTTCGAAGAGGACATCTCAGACGATTGGACAGTTACGTTGTACACATGGAAAGCCTCTTGAAGGCTGATTCTCGAGCGTTTCTATAGGATGGCGTGTAGATGCATAGACGTTTTCTCTGCGTTATCAATGCGAACGTCTGTCTTGCGCCTTCCATGACTGTTTTAGGAGGATCTTGGAGTCCTAGTAATTTAAGAACCCGATTTGTTTCATGCACTGTGTTAACTTTAAGCAGGTTAGACTAAACGTTCATTCTTGTGGTGGACGATTTTTTCCCTCCGGAAAAATGGCCGGCATAGTCGAGTTTAGACTGCATTTACATCAGATCCTTACTCAAAGTGACGATGCCATCAGCATGATCATTATCCGTGGTCTACATGTTGGAGCTTATTGGTACATTCGAAAAAAAATTAAGGGTATGCGGCATACCGTATCAATCGGGATGATAGAGAACATCGGCGAAAGTGTTCAGCATTGTCGAACAGTGGAGTTTTAAGATGGACCAAGTGATTAGAGCGCGAATTTACTGACCAGGAGGTCCGTGGTTCGAACCTGACATTTGCCACTCGACTTCCCCTGTCTAGGCTTGGGCAACCTGGCAGTATCCCAGCCGTCATGCCTTCTTCGTGTGGCATGGCAGCTAGACACCGAAAGGGTGCTACATCTGAACGATTTTTTAGTTTCTTCCACATGGACTCGTTTGTGGGCTTTTCATCATCATCATCAAAGCAGCAACATCAGTGTTGGCACTGATGCAACCATATGCGAATGTGGGGATCGGATTACAAACTTCTGGGAAATATCCTGTTAAGCAAGTGTAGTTAACAGCACTGATCGATCAAGAGAATCTAACTCACTCTTGAAGTCAAGGAATAACAGGATTGTGAGTCGTCTGTACATGTGGCGTTGCTCTAACACCTGACGGAATATGAAGATGTGGTCAACGCAGTCTCTACCCGGTCGCAGGTAGCAGGTGGCTAGCTGAATTGCTGTACGAAGTACTGTACCCAGCTGTCCAGTCGTCTGCCGCGTATCAGGGAGCCATTTTGGTCCCCGATTATTTCACTGACAAGAGGTTTCTGAGGACCAGTCGAACGAATCACGTGGAACAGCTTGCGCACGTTTCCAGCATTCTTTGCATCTTTCGTTTGTTCGGCATTTCAGGTCCACGAGGCTCCTCGATCTGCACGGATACTCAGTTTCGCGTGGTGTCGGGTGGAGTTGTGATTGCCGCCAGTACGGATCTGTTGCCGGGTCTCTACCAAAGACACGGTCCTATCAGAGATCCAATGGTTGGATGAGGTTGGTTGGGTTGTACTTCAAACAGACATTCCGGCTCTGGGTAGCGCTTTGGATATTCCTCCCGGCGGACGTTTGCATCCGACATCGTGCCGTCCGACAGGCATTGTAAGAGCTGGTCCTGATAGTTTCGTTTGACTTCTGGGTCTACTAGCTTCTCAAAGGCTAAGCAGGGTGTGCATCTTTTTTCACCTGAAAAGCAACAGCGTATAAGCGTATGGTCGGAGTCCACGCTGGTGCTCCAGAAGGAGCGGCAGGCGTTGATCGACCTTCGCCATCGATAACTGACGGTGATGTAGTCTGTTTGGATTCGGCGATGGTTTGTTGGTGGGCACCACGTTGTCGAGCGATTTCCGCCGTTCCGTAAAAGGAACGGTCTGTGATCGGCACACATCTGAAGTAAGCGGTCTCCGTGCGTCTCGTGTCCAAATCAAGACGACTACCTAATCGGGCCCCAGCAGCCCTTAGGCTACCTACCTGGGTGTTCCTATCAACAACGATATCTGGGCTTTTAGCCTGCTGTAGAAGGGTACTTAGAGTCGTGCATACACCCGTGCACAAGCCCAATCTCACGATCATGGGGCATCGCTCATTTCACCCACCTCTGGTAGGAGCAATGGCGAACGAGACACTTTGGACAGTTCAGAGTTTAGTTTGCGGAGGACGTATCCCAGCCACTGTAGCGTGTCACTTGAGCAACTATAGAAGAGGCGTTAGACACTCTGTTGTTTGGACGTCGTTTGAGTATTATCCTTAAGCAAGTGGTCAGATTCTTCGCGTTTACGGAGATCGACATTTCGAAGAGGACATCTCAGACGATTGGACAGTTACGTTGTACACATGGAAAGCCTCTTGAAGGCTGATTCTCGAGCGTTTCTATAGGATGGCGTGTAGATGCATAGACGTTTTCTCTGCGTTATCAATGCGAACGTCTGTCTTGCGCCTTCCATGACTGTTTTAGGAGGATCTTGGAGTCCTAGTAATTCAAGAACCCGATTTGTTTCATGCACTGTGTTAACTTCAAGCAGGTTAGACTAAACGTTCATTCTTGTGGTGGACGATTTTTTCCCTCCGGAAAAATGGCCGGCATAGTCGAGTTTAGACTGCATTTACATCAGATCCTTACTCAAAGTGACGATGCCATCAGCATGATCATTATCCGTGGTCTACATGTTGGAGCTTATTGGTACATTCGAAAAAAAATTAAGGGTATGCGGCATACCGTATCAATCGGGATGATAGAGAACATCGGCGAAAGTGTTCAGCATTGTCGAACAGTGGAGTTTTAAGATGGACCAAGTGATTAGAGCGCGAATTTACTGACCAGGAGGTCCGTGGTTCGAACCTGACATTTGCCACTCGACTTCCCCTGTCTAGGCTTGGGCAACCTGGCAGTATCCCAGCCCTCATGCCTTCTTCGTGTGGCATGGCAGCTAGACACCGAAAGGGTGCTACATCTGAACGATTTTTTAGTTTCTTGCACATGGACTCGTTTGTGGGCTTTTCATCATCATCATCAAAGCAGCAACATCAGTGTTGGCACTGATGCAACCATATGCGAATGTGGGGATCGGATTACAAACTTCTGGGAAATATCCTGTTAAGCAAGTGTAGTTAACAGCACTGATCGATCAAGAGAATCTAACTCACTCTTGAAGTCAAGGAATAACAGGATTGTGAGTCGTCTGTACATGTGGCGTTGCTCTAACACCTGACGGAATATGAAGATGTGGTCAACGCAGTCTCTACCCGGTCGCAGGTAGCAGGTGGCTAGCTGAATTGCTGTACGAAGTACTGTACCCAGCTGTCCAGTCGTCTGCCGCGTATCAGGGAGCCATTTTGGTCCCCGATTATTTCACTGACAAGAGGTTTCTGAGGACCAGTCGAACGAATCACGTGGAACAGCTTGCGCACGTTTCCAGCATTCTTTGCATCTTTCGTTTGTTCGGCATTTCAGGTCCATGAGGCTCCTCGATCTGCACGGATACTCAGTTTCGCGTGGTGTCGGGTGGAGTTGTGATTGCCGCCAGTACGGATCTGTTGCCGGGTCTCTACCAAAGACACGGTCCTATCAGAGATCCAATGGTTGGATGAGGTTGGTTGGGTTGTACTTCAAACAGACATTCCGGCTCTGGGTAGCGCTTTGGATATTGCTCCCGGCATCCGACATCGTGCCGTCCGACAGGCATTGTAAGAGCTGGTCCTGATAGTTTCGTTTGACTTCTGGGTCTACTAGCTTCTCAAAGGCTAAGCAGGGTGTGCATCTTTTTTCACCTGAAAAGCAACAGCGTATAAGCGTATGGTCGGAGTCCACGCTGGTGCTCCAGAAGGAGCGGCAGGCGTTGATCGACCTTCGCCATCGATAACTGACGGTGATGTAGTCTGTTTGGATTCGGCGATGGTTTGTTGGTGGGCACCACGTTGTCGAGCGATTTCCGCCGTTCCGTAAAAGGAACGGTCTGTGATCGGCACACATCTGAAGTAAGCGGTCTCCGTGCGTCTCGTGTCCAAATCAAGACGACTACCTAATCGGGCCCCAGCAGCCCTTAGGCTACCTACCTGGGTGTTCCTATCAACAACGATATCTGGGCTTTTAGCCTGCTGTAGAAGGGTACTTAGAGTGTCATAGGAACTGCTCTTGGCAGATTCAGAGTTGGGGAGTATGCAGACACAATAAACAAGGTGCGGTGGATTCTCTCACAGTTTTTGCCAAACGAACCGCACAGAGGCGATTGTGGGCGGGTATCCAATCGGGCAGAGACAGTTTCGCTCAATAAGATACCCATTCCAGCATATCCAGCTTTAGCGGCCTCTGCATCACCCGAGGTGCGCAGTCGGAAGAGAGCGAGGGGGCAGTCAGTTCTATCACAGTAGTTGCGTCTTGCAGAGGAAATGTAACATGCGAGCAAGAGCCACCTGTTGACCTACTTGCTTCAGTGTGCGAACATTGAAGGTGGCTAAGTAGACAGGCTTTCGGGGTTTGAAAACAGACTTCGAAGTGTTTAGGGTTATGACTGAACTCGGACTGCAGAAGACTGTAGCTGAGTGTGATGCAGGGCGAGCAAAACGGTCAGTTTTAGAGCTGGAACCTGCGGAGAAAGTATCCAAATCTGTGCAGGGGAGGGTGAAAGAAGGAAAACGTGAAAGTGTAATAAGGGAGGCGTCAGCAGTAGCATGTTTTCGCTTACCCGCCCTGCTGTATGCGGCAAGTTAGGCGATCCGGCTGATGGCACTACGCGGTGGTCGGTGTGGTATGAGGGTATTGTTATTTGTGAGTGTCATGGTTGTACGAGGGCTGGGATACTGCCAGGGCGCCCACACCTAGACAGGAGGACGATTAAAATCCTCAACCGGAGCCTTTGGCTCAAAATCCTAACCACAAGGCAGCAGTGTTCGGCTGGAACTGCAAATACATTACCATTTTTACGGGACACGTCGCCATGCATGCTCTAACCCCCAAATTGGAAGGCCAGAAGACTGTTCGTCAGGCCTTTACCCATGGACCAATCTGGTATGAGAGACTCTATGAGTGTCGAGCGGACACCCTTCCAGTACAGGTCACGGGGTCTCCGAGGTACACAAACTGCCACACCACGCTAAGGTCCAGTCTCTTCTTGACGTTTGTGGGCTTTTATACCTGACTAGTAGATTCTTATAAGATTCGGCAGCTTATCTGGCATACCATCAGCTTCCAGGATTGGCAAAGTAAGTTTCCTATTGACCGAATCGAATGCTACACGGAATTCGATAAAGTAAGTAGCATTTGGTTGCTGAAACTTCAGGCGCTGTTCCGAAATAAGGCGTAGCATGATTCTATCTGAAGATAGACTCTCTTCTATGGTACTGCGCAGTAGTAGTACGGCAGAGATTTTGGATGAGTTACCTATCGGCAGGTGCCCAGGTAGTCCTCAAACCGTTCCATCAACTTTTTCGAGCATCAGTATTAGCGTAGGGGTACCCCGGTCGACCTGAAGCACTTCGGCTTCCATATCGAGCGTAATACGTCAGCGAAGCATTAGTGTTGAACACTAGTCTCATGTTCTCTGTTGATGATGATATGGAGTACAACGTTTTTGAAGAGATTCGATGACTGTCAATGAGCATGCATTTTAGTTTAACCCCGGGCTACTATCCTCAGCCAGATGGTTGCAGAATGGGAAGCACCGGTGGTTGTGGGGGAGTATTGCATACCTCGGTGGTTGTATTAGCTCTGAGGAAAATGTCTGACGAAGTCTCCACATGAATCTCAGAGGCCTCAGTCAGGTTTGCCAATTGTGGCATCAAAAAGGTATATCATAGGGTGTCAAGGGTTGTATGTACCTGGCTGAAGTAAGGGTTTTATTATTGTACGGTTGCGAGACATGGCCTGTGAGGACAGATAATTCGAGGCGTCCTTAGGTTTTAGACCGCCGTTGTCTCAGATACGTCAGATTTCGGTGTTTCTTGACTTAAAGAGTGCATCCAGTTCTGTCGGTCGATCAGTGCTCTCAACCACAGAGGATGTTCCAGAAGCTCGTAAACACAATCTGGGTGGGAAAATATAGCATGAGCAACCGGAAAGGATGTCCACTTCAGCTTCCTCAGTGATGAAACAATGAGGTGAGCACTGGAGGGTCCTCATAAACGGCGTTCAACTCGTTGATGTTGAGAACCTTGTCAATCTGGACTATTTAGACGACACCGTTCTCATCCTTTAAAACGAACAAAAAACATAAACGTTGCTGAATAAAAAGGCCTCCAATATACCACGTCACGATCAGGAGCTCCAAATGAGACCAGAAAAGCTATACCATCAAAAGAGTACTATGATAAGGCGCGCAGATCCCTCGAATACAGAGACTTGACTGAGAGCGCTGGTGGGCCGCAACGTCCAACGTGCAATTTCATTACTTCGGTGAAAAACACCCTGAACTCTCAAAAGAAGATGGTGAGTCCACCGTGGCCAAGCTGACGACAAAATATCGAGTGAGGAAAGTGTACTGACAGAATGAAGCATCTCGAGTTGATTCATGTATTCAAAAAGGGTGCGAGAACATCGTGCGAAAACCACAGCTTTCAAGGTGTCCTCTGCGATTACCCTACGCAGGTTAATCTATCACAGGGGAGATTAAGTTCGCGAGAATCAGGCAGGTTTTGCCTTGGTCGGGTTGCGTCGATCATACATGTGTTGGAATTGTGCCACTCCTTCCAACGACCAATATTGATAGACTCGCTCGATCTCAGATCTGCCTTTCGCTCCGTTGATCGTCATAAGTTGTGGCATTGTCTGACGATGAAAGATGTCCCTCCGAAAATCGTCGTTCCTATAAAAGCTACTAATGTTCCCCACCATGGACACATATCTACGGTCAATTTCCCACATTTCACTACATTCAGTGATGTCAAGCGAGGTTGCGTCACCACCCTTCCTCTTCAACTTCATAGCCGATGTGGCGCTTGAGTCTCCTGTTCAGCTGTAGCATCCTTCCGCTACCTAGCTGTCAGGCTGCCCGAAGGAAGCAAAAGTACTGAGATGCTCCCAGGGTGCCCAGGAGCAGTCGAGTTTCAGAGGTTGGGCTCGAGCCACAAACTCTCTGGTCGGTAGGTGTTCACCTTAACCACCGAGTTACCTCTAGGTCAGAGTCTTCTCTACTTGCCTCTAACAGCTCGGACGTCGAAGTACCCCTGCGGTCTTCATTCGGAGACATCTAGTATTCTGACGATATCGCTCTCCTTGGGTCTGCTTCTCAGAAATGCAACTGACCAAAACAATTGCGCTGTACGGTTCGACATGCAATTTACATCTGGAAGGGGTAGGTTTTTTGCAAGACTAGAAGCAGACTCAAACTTCGCGCTTGCAGATAAATCAATTGATGTGGTAGATAGCCTTGTCCATCTGAACCGCCGCAAAAGTCCCGTTGACTGCTGAAAGAGGAAATCACTTGGCCCACTGGGGAGGCTAGGGGAGTGTTTGGTGACATCCGACATCTGTGGCGCCGAAGTGACATCAGACTGACTACCGAGTTTAGAGTTTGCAATCTTGCAGTTAGATCTGTTCTATTTTGGAAATCAAATACGTGACAGCTGCATGCATATCTTCGGAGACTCTATGTTTTGATAATCGATGACTACAAATCCCTGTACCGGTCTGGTCAGAAGACCATATCAGTAATGCTGAAGTAGTTTTTAGGAAACCAACTCGCAGCGGATAAATCGGCTGGTCACAATCCACAGTTTTTGTTGGTTAGGTCCTCTTCCCCTAGCCACGCCACCGGTGGAGACAACCTAGGGGCAAAGAAGCATGAAAGCGCTTACCAGTCAAATTATTTGCGTTGTCCCCTCCGTCGTCGTCTCTCCGGATGGCGACAAAGGGACGAGACAAAGTAGTGGTTGGTGATCATGCTATATTCGGCTATATCACGCAGCTAATGGCGATCCTTCATAAAAATTGCATTCACTGAGTAGGGCTTTCAATTTCTGCCGTACCTCACAAATGTCTGTGAACTGGCCGAGCCATTGCCTCTGACACGTGGATCTAATTCTCCTATTTTCCGTAATATCAGTGAACAAACCTGTAGTAGCCAGAACTGCACTTGGATGCATGGATGCGCATGGGTACAAGCTGAGAAACAACCGTGGTGAGCGAACAACAACACAGCGCCCGGTTATGGTTAAACCAGCCGGTTGTCACTAGCTTGCCATAGAATGCGCTAAAAGAGTGTATTGAGTTCGAGATATCTCAGTGGTCAAGGAGTTGGCTTACTGACTGGAAGGTCCGTCGTTCGAATCCGACCTCAGTATCTCGACTGGTCCCGCCTAGGCTTGGACAATCTGACAGTGTTTCAGCCCTCGTGCCTCCTTCGGGTGGCATGTCAGCTAGGCATCGAAAGGATGCAAAAACTGAACGGCTATATTTACGAATGAACGATTGTCTTTTAGTCTAATGCGTTGCACAAAGAAAACTGTTCAGGCTTATCTCCATTGCGGGCAAGAGTCAGCAAATCCTGAAAGTCCCAACACAAGACCATTACCAGACTTAGATCTGGGATTGCTAAATAACAGTAGATTTTAGTGAACCTGGATTTACATCCAATGACGGAATTTGGTTGGATCGATTGCGCATTACATTATTTTGGTGGCGTCACGCACGCTACCGTAATGGTGCCTTCAGGTTTGCCTTTCATCTTATGTGTGGGAAAATATGGAGTGTCTCTTGCTAATTTTGGTGAAGATTTTTTCTTGGGAATCTGAATTTTCATTTCCTCATAGGGTTACCATCTTTCTGCTTTATAGATGGTCACTGTTGATTCCAATCCTTTGTCGCTCCCAACTGCTTCCTTGCCGTTGATCGCGAAGGGTATCGCTGCATGTTGGCCATCATGCAAACTATGGACTCTGGAATACTTGGATGAGATGTTAAATGGACCCTTGTTGTTTCGTTTAGCAAAACGACATAGCGAAACTGTGCAGTGGGAACCTGACTGTCAGACGGTTTTCGCTTCTGTTGGTGAATTTCGTGATTGGCTGTCCGGGGAAAATGACTCATGTAATCCTTTCAACCCGTATCCTAAGGATTATTGGTGGGCTTACGCTGATTATGTTTATATGAGTTCCAACGACGGATTCGACAAGCTGTTGGTAGATTTGCCATACGACCAGACATTCCAGACTTCTAACGGGATTACAACCCCGACGTTCTGGTTGGGGTCTTCAGGCTCCAATACACTCTGCCATTACGATACATACGGTGTGAACATAGTTGTACAGGTATTTGGAAAAAAACATTGGACCCTATTTCCCAAATCTGATACTCCTTATATGTACCAAACTAGGCTTCCATTAGAAGAATCTACCGTTTTCAGTGAGATCAATTTCCCGATTCCGGACTACCGCAAACATCCCTTGTTGGCCCGAACCTCCCCGCGATCGGTGGTTTTGGAACCAGGCGATGCACTTTTTGTACCACGTGGTTGGTGGCATTTCGTTCAGTCCACCACAGATTGCCAGGCAACGTGTTCTGTGAATTGGTGGATTGATCAGCCGGAACTAGATGACCGCATTCGATTACGCGAAGCACTAACGCAGCTGGTGGGCTTTTCTCTCCTTTCTAACTGCCAAAATGTGGATGTAGAATCGAAGATACACTCTAGCGAGCGGACGTTTTTCAATTCTGGCAACTGGTTTGCTGTCCTTTCGAAGCAAGTAGATTTACTTGCTTCTAAGGGAATTAACTCTGTTCCGAGTCAAAGTTTATCGGAAAATATCGATACCGTTTGGAGTATTGTACAACCAAAATCCCCTCAAGAATTGTTTCCTCCTCAGTCGGAAGTCCCAAGTTCATCAGAACCGAAATCATGTGCCGCCCTCAATGATCAAGACATAATAAAGGCTTTTTTGAAACCGGATGTGATTGACCTGGTTGCACAACATATTGAGAATCGTGAATAAAATTTCAATAAAAAGAGCTACACTCTTCTTTTTTACCATCTGTAGCCGTTACATTTTTTGACAACACGGCCATATTTCTTGCATTTTTCATCTAAATTTCAGGATACCCATACACACAGTATCCTATGCAACCATGAAAGAGAACCCGTAGGTTCTGGCGGCAAACCACTGCGGCTGAAATGCAAATTTCGTTCGGGCCAATCTACTTTGTCCAACCTAACCAGCGAATCCACTGTGCGTGACCTATTGGCCTCTGTTAGTATGGCCGTGGGTGTGGATTCATCAGAACTGTGTTTGTTCGTCGGTTTTCCTCCAAAGCCACTCTCATGCTCGGGTGAATTTCTCGACCGACGACTTGATCAGGTATGTCAAGTGGCTCTCTTGTGAGAATCATTAGCGGTTTTACCGTCGAATTCTTTAAAACTAGCTGTGCTCAATCGATTCTCTTTGGTAAACGTGATCATTTTAGGTCAATAGGTCACTTTGTCATGGTAGTAAAGAATATCAATTTGCTGAGCCGATTTTCTAAAATTACTTTACGTCATTGTCAAATCTGATCTAATTAACGTGCTGGATGTTTTCTCGATTTTGTGTATCAAAACAAACCCTCATGGTGGTGCAATTGCGAGGGCAAGATAGTCTGTAATCCCAATTATTTGATATCCGGGTCGAGTCTGGTCAGAACGTTCCGCACGAGAGAACGCTGTGTAAGAATTTTACCCATAGGCAGGTGGAGCCTTAGTCCCACACACATGAACTATACTGTTGGACAGTGGGAACTTGATACAGGGTAGGAGTGAGTTGAGTGAATCTTTAACTGAAAAGCTCAAGTGCATATTTCATAGTTGAAAAGATACGTGAAGATATATTCGAATCTTCGATATCGGAGTTGTCAGATGGGTGCTGTACTGACTGAAGTACCAAGGTCTCTACATCCCCTCACACTTCACACGGGATCCTCGTGCTTTTTGATTGACGTGAAACTTGAAGACTATCAATATCATTCGTGAGTCCCTTGCTTGGCTTCACAGGGGGCAAACATGTGGTGTCTCTGAGTTATTAGGGCATGCATCGTGCAAGCGTCAGAGTAATGTCCTTTCGTATTACTTGTATTACTCGTATTACTTTTCATTTCAAGATCATGTAGGCAGTGAGGCATATATATATATATATATAGGCATTAGTGACTGACTGTAGAGAAACCGCCACAATTCAGAGACTTTTGGTGAGTTTCACTCTACAACAGCCACTACACTGAGACGAGATAAATATCTGACCTAAACTTTTTGAATGGACCCGAACCTTGTCTTGGTAGACGGCAAGTTACTTTCAAAACTGAACGGCTCCACCAAGACTAGCTTGTTGAAATCGTGTGCAGCCAGGTTAAACGTTGATTGTCCTATCATTTAAGTATCATCATGGAGTGAAGCCGTCGCAGCTTCGAAGTTTATTCGTTTTTAATAAAGGTTAACCTCATGTGCTCTGAAATCAAGTAAAGTTTGTAGTAGAGGCTTCACTGACACTGGCCAACAGTGCATTAACTGCAATGTATCAAACAAGGTGTCAGCTGTGCGTGGTTGCATACCAACCTGCGTGCTCGTGGTGTAACTGTATGACGTATCCCGACTTAGGGGAGGCCGCTCCTTCAGTGGGAATCGGTTTAGACGAGTAGAAACGAATGTGGGGCATTGATGCTCAGTTCGTTTCGGCTCATCATGCCAGATATGGGGAAAAATTAAGAGATCAAGGTACTTATAAAAGGACGGAAGTTGTCAAGGCTGTAAAGAGCGTTTTAGACCAAGTCGTGGTGCAAATAATCGAAACCCCTTTCGGCACTCCTGTGGGTGCTCTGTCTGGACCAGTGGTCCTCAATCTTTGCAGCTCTTTCCACCCTTTTGAACACAGCTCCGAGTCATCTTACCTCCGAACTTATCCGACGCTTTTTTTGCAGTCAGTTTGCAATAATTTTCACCTGTTTCAAACACTACGTGGAATTCGCTTACTTCACTGCAGTGGAAGGTGAAGTCTGACGAAATGAGGAACATCATAAACTAGAGATTCACTTGAGTCTCCCGTAAAAACCAAATTGATTTGCGAATGAGTGTATTTGTCGAAATGTAGCCTTCTTGAATTCTCGAAATCACGTCAGAATCCCTCAGTTTAAAAGAGATTCAGTGTTTAATTACGTGAAAAATACTTGGAACCGATTGGGTAGTCATCGTTTTCGAAAAAGTTTGGTAACGCCACAGTAGTGATGAACAGGAGCTACTATCTTCAAAAGGTCAGGCAACACCTCACCGATGAACCCTATCGACAAATTACCGGTAGCTGTATTACTTCAGTAATGAATAGGAGTAAGGTTGAAGTTAGGAGATATTTAAGACCGTAATAGACCATTCAGGGCAAGGTAAGTGGTATCGGTTTATCCAAAAAGTGCGATTCAACCGCGACTCTACGGATTGTCAAAAATCCACAGGGCAGATGTACCGATAAGGCCAATAGTGGATGGTATAGGCTCGCCACCGCATGAACTGGCCAGATTCTTAGCTGGTATACGGGGAAATCAAGTACCTTCATTACGAATTCGTACGACTTTGCCAGCAAGGTCGCAGGGCTTCCTTTGGAGATGGACGAAGTCCTCGTGAGTTTTGACGTAATCTCAATGTACACAAACATCCCTAGGGCAGAGGCTCAGGAGGTAATTAAGGGTTTGTTACTGGCAGACACGACACTCTGGGAACGGACACAGCTCTCGGTGGATGAAATAGTTGAGGGCATAAGAGTGTGTTTGAATCTTGATCAGTTTGTTTTCGACTGTTTACTCACAAGAACAAGGACTTGCAATGGGATTTCCAGTATCCCTAGTTTCAGCCAATATATACATGGAGGACTTCGAACGAATAGCCCTGGAGGGATATCATTGTCCACCCAAAGTTTTTTGGGGTTATTTCGACGACACGTTTGTTGTAATCAAACGGGATTACGTGAACAGCTTCCACGACTGTCTCAATAGTTTGAACCCACACATTAAGTTAAACGTGGAAATAGAATCCACCTCGGGCACCCTTTCTGGACTGTATAACACATAAGATTGGTGGGAAATTGAAAACGATTATCTACCGGAAACCAAGGCACAGCAACCGTCTTAAGCTATTCATCAGCACACCAAAAGTCCAGTATTGTCTCATCGATGTTTCTTCGAGTTAGTCGTTGTATTCGGTATGGTTCTGTAATAACAACAAATAAACAACGGTTATTGATTGAATAGAAGTGTCAATGAATAATACATAACAATGATTCAATACGAACGTACATTCCAGATTGTACCACAGGTCTTTGAGCAGATCCGACGTAAACGTCAAGGAAAATACAGGTGAAGTTTATAGCCCAAGCAGTGTCAGAAATGTGGAATGAGAGTCATGAAGTGTCGGTAGATTTGAAGGAATCAACAAACGTTCACCGAACATTACAATACCTTTTAAGTAACTTTTAAGTAACATTTGATTGCATTTCCTGACTTTGTCTACGTATTCCAGAACTCTTATGTTTATGGGCTATCCAAGGTCACTTCTTTTGTGGTGGTAATCCTTAGGTTCCTGAACCTCACGGTCTAGCGAAAACTCTGCTTGAACTCGTTATACTCAAACTGTTTGGACAGAATAAACTTGCGGTGTCTTTATAATGTGGCCATGTAGATAGCGCGGTACGGCGAGCAGCGAATCAGCCAATGTAGGAATTAGAAGACGCACATCTAAGTAAGCAGACCCACGCCTGTGCCGTCACGTGCCGAATTATTTAAAATGAACTCAGAAGTCAGTAGAATCAGAATAAAGAACCAACTGAATGCTAAGCCCTGTCAGTGAGAACGAACGGAGCTTGAGGCTAAATAATGAACCGTTTAGACCAGACATCAATCATAGTGTTTATCTTGGTTACCCTTTTCTCACAATGTTAAGATGTCTAGTGTTTCTGAGTATCAATTTTTGAAGTGAATAACTAAGCACACCTAAAATTATGCTTGATGTCGCCTGACACAGTTGGGATAGTTAGAACCCACCAAAACGTTTTCCTACATCCATGGCGTTCGTCTGTATCAGACTGTTTATTATCCATCATTTGGTAGACAGACATTACTCCTTTGTTCGGGCATTATCGTTAGTGATTCTAAGATTTATGCAGTCATGGCTGTGGTCATCACAAAGTGTTAGCTGGTAAGTGAAATACACTCATTTGCATACCATTTTGGTTTTGACGGAAGCCTCATCTGGATCCCAGGTGAATCCCTCTTTTATAATATTTTTAAGAAGTGCATTACATCTATATTTGTTCTTTACCTTTTCGGCCCCATTCTGTTTGCCGTCCACTCAGATTCCCCTTGTATCTGGCGATACACTCACTGTGGATACTTTGCCGAAAGCCCAGAATGAGAGATCTGCTTCGACTCCAGTTTCGAAGGGTCCTCATCTAGTCAGATTGACGGCACCCTCAGATAATGCCTGTCTATTCACCAGTGTTCTATTTTGTGTGGACAATGCCGATGGACATCAGCCAATTGATGTTAAGGTGGTGACAAATGCTATCGCGGTTGCCCAGGTTCGTGAGCTGATTGCCAGCATCGTGCTCAGTGATCCAGAACGATATTCCGAGGCCTTTCTTGGTATGCCAAATGAACGTTATTGTCAATGTATTCAAGAGGTAATCTTGTTAATATTTTTATGATATTTGCTCAATCTTCCGATCATAGATATATTTAGCAGTTATGAGGAATCAGGTCTTAACACTACGTAACTCAGTTGCATCTCAGTTAGCATCGCTCTGAACTTGACGGAGATTTTACGGCCTTTGTCTCGACGATACTGCGGACTCAAGTTTTTACAGGGAAGGTATTTCAGACTTATCTCTCAGGTTCGACCGCTTTCCGACCTCACGATCTCTGTCTTATGACAAATCCGAAACAGCTTGGGTTGTATGCCTCTATCTGCGTAAAGGAATTCTATCGATTCCCCGACGGACAACAATTATTGTTGCTACTTCCATGACACTATCATCACGGAGATCATCCCTCAGGAACGACCACGTCTATTTGGTCCTGGCATTCTAGAGAGATGACCTCCCAGATCTGATCGTGGTCTGCTGTTTGAGACATGTTTTGGTCAAAATCTCTCAAAAGAGACGAATGGTCTTGCGACCAACTTTCCGGATGCCTGTGGCTATGTTTTACTTCTTGACTAGTATCCGCAACCAATACACCTCCGTGCTTGTGTTGTTTTGTCCGTCTCCACCAAGTATGATTTCAAGGATATGTTTGTGAACTCGAGTCGCCCGTTTTATTCGATATTATCTTATTATCTCAAGTGGCTGAATATACCCGTGGTTGGAGAACGAAGAAGGTAGCGAACAAAGCTTGTTTTCTGTGATTGTTCCTCTTGGTTAATACATCACAAATTTATATGGTAGCAGAAATCATATGGAGAAGGTTAAGATCGAGGCTACATACACTCTAGAGAAGTGGAAATCAAAGGAAGGGGAGTTGGATGAGGGATAGGTCAATGGGTCACGGAATCAGGTAAGTGACGTCAATGTCAGACAGACTTGTGGGACCAGTTGTTTCGTAGGCTAGTTCAAGTTCAGAGGTCGCACAAGTTTCTTTTGGATGCAAAGTTGTGGATCCAGAAGTCGGGTTCCAATCGCCTCTGCGATCGACAGCAGTGTAGATCGTACCAGTCGTGATCGGTTCAGGGGTACCCGGTATATGGTGGTGAGGAATTGCTCCTTGTCTATGACATGACTTGTTTCGGCCAAATGTGATGCAATCGCGCTTGAGCCTGGTTTCTTCCCACTACCACTCTAAGATACGGGATTGTGTTCTCGCATTCTGTCCGACAAATGCCTTGTCATACGACCAACGTATGACGCTCGGCACCATCGGTCATAGACTACCCATCTCTCGTTCGCTTCCACACAGCGCAAACCTGGGCAAAACTAGTTCTGCGAGGCAGAGGCTCCTCTTGCATGCAGAGTACTTATCCTAACCAGCATAACCTTCGAAGCGTGAGTAACTTATTCATCATGGGACAGTTTATTTTCCTCAAAATCACATTATGTACTTCAGCATTGGTAATCCGATCTTCCAACCACACCCGGCCAATGCTCAGGATACACCAAAATTTATAGGTTTGGTGTGTCCCGCGTGTAGAGACCACGTCTCTGATCCATTAAGCAGCATGGATCGCATTGCCACGGTGTTCACTATTCCCTTGACAGACGCTAACGTCACGCCGGCGCCATGTGTATTGGAGGTCTGGAAAAGCTGCACGAGCCTACCCGACTTGATAGTTAGTTTCACCTCCAGCCAACTGCCGAAATTTATGCGACTGCCCAGGTAGACAAATTTATCTACCACGTCGATTGGCTGATCTGCAAGCATGATCCTACCTAAACTTGAAACAGCACTTTAGATTGTTGGTAGTGTGGGGAGATTTGTTTTTTTATGTGAATCTTTCTTCCTGTAAGTGAAGCCAATCTATGCTGAAAACCGGAGCAGCACTTTTCCCCATAGATTGGCTTCAGTTACAGGACGAAAGCTTCACAGAAAACAGTACTTTAGACTTTGCAGGTGTGACACGCATGCCGAACCGTGCATCATCGACAGGGTTGTACGTGGGCTGGGATACTGCCAGGGCGCCCACACCTAGACAGGAGGACGATTAGGGTCCTCAACCAAAGCCTTTGGCTCAAAAGCCTAACCGCAAGGCAGCGGTGTTTGGCGGGAAATGCAAATGCATTACCATTTCTACGGAACAAGTCGCCACATGTTCCAACCCCCAACCTGGAGGGCCAGGAGACTGTGTTCGTCAGACCCCTAACCACTGACCAACCTGGTGTGAGAGACTCTGTGAGTGTCGCGAGACACTCTCCAGTATAGCTCAATGGATCGCTGAGGTGCGCAAACCGTCACACCACGGTAAGGTCCAGTCTCTTCGTGACGGAACCGAACCGTGCGGTAGAGTAAATTAAGTTATTTAAAGTGGTTTGCACTTTTGAGGGACATAAAGCAAGGAAAGCAATATCGTCCGCATACTCAATGTCTGAGGGAACGTCCCGGGAGCATTTCGACCACTGAGGTTTCGGAGCAAGGCATGTAACTTTCAAGCAGCACATCAGTAACAAAGTGGGAAAGGACAGCTTTGTCTTACATTACTGGAGTGGTGAACTCAGGCGAAAGCTTGCGGTATACTTATATTTGTCTACAGGGGTTCGCATTCAGTACCGTTATAAGAGACGAAAATTCGAAAGGGACGCGTTCGATCATCAAACATCACCAGCATTTCTGACGATCAACAGAGTCAAAAGTAGCTTTCAGATTAAGATCGATCAACGTGGAACCTTCGAAAGAGTGGCACTGTTCATGAACTTGTCTTATGCTTTGGACAAATACATTCATTTAGATATCAATTTGATTTTCACGGGAGACTCAACTAATCTTATTTTTTATGTTATTCTTCAACTGACTGCAGAACAAAGGCCGCTTCGTGTTTCAGTTGGTGCGATATGCCAGATAACGCAATATAATTTCATGAAGGACACTACTTGCAAGGATGCTGGATACATCCCCGGCCAAAGCGAAACAGGTTAATTTTTGCGGACAGTCCAACCGATAGTCAATCAGCCTGTCTAAAATAGTGCAAGGGAGCAAGGCTTCCAGGCTGGTGCCACGATGGTTTTCACATGACGTTCTGGCGCTCTTTTAGAAGACTAGATCAAGGTTGAAGCGCTCCATCCCACCGATGTTCTGTTTCCATTTCAAGTCTTCTGTAGTGCTCACCAGGGCCTCACCACATTTGAATATTGTGGGCTATAGACCACCCGGACCGGTTGGTGGCCTTCAATAAACTCGGTGTGAGCACCTATTCTAAAAGTTTCTGCTGAACAGGGATAGACGATGTTCAGCACAGAACTAAAGAAGTTGTTCCCCACCACACGAAGCTTTGTCTTAAAATCTGCCACCTAATTGTGTTTTTTTTCCGGACTTATTTGTCCAACTTGGGTGTTCATGTCACTCATTATGTGTTCTGTAGGTTCCCTTCCATCAGGCGTTTATATCGTTCTATTACGTTTTAGAGATGGCTCAAGTGGTTAGAGCGCGAATATACTGACCGGAAGGTTCGTGGTTCGAACCTGACCTCCGCCTCTCGACACAGGCATAGTTTAATGTAATCATTGTCTGTTGCAGTTACTTCCGTTTTGACTCATGTCACTCATTATGTGTTCTGTAGGTTCCCTTCCATCAGGCGTTTATGTCGTTCTATTACGTTTTAGAGATGGCTCAAGTGGTTAGAGCGCGAATATACTGACCGAAAGGTTCGTGCTTCGAACCTGACCTCCGCCTCTCGACACAGGCATAGTTTAATGTAATCATTGTCTGTTGCAGCTACTTCCGTTTTGACGCCTGTAAGTACCCATCATGAGCGATGGTATTACTAAGCCCCATTTCGTTCGCTCTTCTCACAGTCATCTTAATCTGATTTGCAGCAAAATCTGATGAACATATATCTAAAGGAATATGGGTAAGGCGCTCGTTCTAAAACCTTATGCCTGCGGTTCGATACCATCGATTTTTTTAGAAACAGCCTCGCAATCAATCAGCATGCATACTCGTTTCCCCAACATCATTATCACTGATAATACCACCCCGTAAGTACCACTGGTGGTTAACTACCATACAGCTGTGAGGGAGGGAAGCCTTAGTAAGGAGTGGGAATAAAAGGACAGGATAGGGACAAGGTCTACGTGTTTAAAAACTCTCAGGAATGATACTCCTGCACCTTTGAACATCACTAAAATAGACGCATCTGAGAATCATGTCGAAGTAAGGTGCCTTTAGCAGTACTAGCTTAATGTCTCTGGTGGACCCCACCTAACACAAACCCAGCATACGACTGGAGAACCTTAACTTGGTAGCCCAGCTGGGAAATGACGGAAATCGCACTGGGATTGTTTGCGTGTCATTTCCTTCAGGGTTTCCAGCCGCGTCCAAACTGAATCGCGCTACTACACCAAGACTTGTCCCTTACAAACCTCCTACCAATAAGGGCTTGGGTTGGAAGACGGACCACCGGGTAGTGAAGCCTTAGCTTGCAAACTTAGGGCTATGCAAACCGTCACAACCGGCTGCGGTTGCTGCAGGATCACCCGAATTTCATAGTCTGTCGAATGTAGATAGAGAAGGTGCCACGTTCTCAACAATTGTACTTGGATCCTGTATTCGAGCTTCAGAGATGCGGCAGTTGCAGTTCGATAAAGTATCTCAGATACAAGCAAGGGTATCTTCTTGACAGGTCTTTCTAAAAGTTCTCATATCAAAGATTTCAATGAAAGCAAGAGAATTAAGCCCGGATATTAGTCGTGGAACAGTAGATATGAGCGTTAGTGACTGACATGTCTACAGCAAGGACTTGCAGAAGAGTGATTATCAAGCGGTACAAGATGGGGATTTATAAGGAATAGTGAAGAAAGACGAAAGCGTCAACAGCCGCCCTGCTGAATGCAGCGACCCAGCTAATGCCACCACATGACGGTCGATGTGCCATGAAAGCACTTGAATTTGTGGATTTCATAGTTATACGTGCTTTGAGTAGCCGCCAAGCTGTGCAAGCCCATATAATAGAATGATTAGAATTCTCAATCAAAACAGTTCGTACAAGGCAGTTTTGTATGGCGTTAGCTTACTTGAGTAGCTCGTATTTTAAGGAGCATGTTACCACTCCCCTGGTACATTTACCCATATGCCTGAACGCAGGTCATGCTTATTTTCAGAAAATTAGGTCTCCAGCCTCCCAACTCCGTAATCTCTGGATTCAGGAGCGTTTACATTTCGACTGGAGATTTCTCGCTTTCTTAGAACTGCACCTGTAGTTGAAAAGGTAGATACGTTTAATCGAGAACTGTTTCATGTTCAGTGGAGTTATTCGGTTCAACCGAGCAGCAACCGAGAAACGAATATAGTGGTTTCGGTTACTGAAATTTATTGTTCGGGATGTGAAAAATATAAACGGAAAGGATAAAATGTTTGGGGGTAAAATGATGGGGTTGACTCAAACTACCAAGGACAGGGGAAACTACATTGTTGACTTCCTGATTATCAATGTCTTTCTCCGCTAGCCGGATCGTTGGGGCGGAGGAATCGAAGTGGCTATCCTGTCGCAAGTATATGAAATGGAAATATGCCTGGTCGACATACAGACTGGACGGATCGACCGATTCGGCGAAGACAAGAACTATCGCCATCGAATTTTGCTAATCTATGATGGGATACACTATGACCCTCTCGCGTTGGCTCGACCAGATACGGGAAAATTGACTTCGGTGTTTTCAACAAAAAACGAACAGGTATGTGGATCTACTTTGTGTGTACCATAAAGCCATCCTCACAACTTATGTGCAGTCCATTGGATTCGTTTGGTCCACTGTACTACGCCATACTAACGATGGTTGTTTTCAGTAGGCAAAGATGTAGGCCTCATTAAGGTTCCCACTATCTTCGTTGATTCAGCTGCTTTTCAGGGGTTCGTGTTATAAAATGTTGAGCCTCCAGAGAATTATTTCTACGGGGCTTATGCGTACCCTCTGCTTTTGACCTATCGTCTTACGAACGTTTTTGGAGAAGCTGACTTTCCCCGACATTATAGAACCTTAACCATATGCCTCATTGTTTTTTGCTACTTGCTCACTTTTCAACTCATTTACGGCTGTTTGTCTTCAAATTCTATCACTGTAGATTCTGTGGGATGCACAGGCGCTTGCGGCTGAAGCTCGTGCTCAGTGGCGATTCACAGACACCGCATCCTTTACACTGATTTGCCGGCAGTGCCAAGTTCCTTTGGTCGGACAAGCTGCCGCACAGCAGCATGCAAAAGATACAGGCCATACCGAGTTCAGCGAAATTCCTCCCTAACGCAACGGTGCAGCTGAATGTAGCAGAATTTTCCAATTTCACAATGAATGATGGGAGAGATTGACTGACCTATCGCTTCTCCCTACTATACTGTTGTTTTACTCTATCCTTTCCTTCTGCCTTGCACGCACTCAGCTCAGTGACGGTTATATTGCACCTTGACTTTAAACAAGCCGACCAATGCCACGAGCTTACCTAGTATGTTGCAGGCAAATAGGCATTTTTTATTTTGGCTTGTTTGTTCAATAATTTGAATATACAGTGTTCGTGAACTGAAGTTCGGAGTTCTCTCTGATGATCTCGAAAGCCTTAGTCGCTTGAAAATAAACAGTTAGTCGTTTTGCACCTCCAGACGAGTATTTGAGGGACACTATAAACAGCACGTGTTTATGTCTGTTCTGTTTGTTCTCGCGATTTCAGATTTCAATGGCCTCCAGCTTCGGGCCATCTCTTAATCATCAACCTAGTTCTCAACTAGCTATGTTGTGTAAAACATAAGCACATGGGTGCAAGCAGTGGAAGATGGTTTTGTAAAACAGCCATTATATATATATATATATATATTCCTGTTATATACCTCAGAGTAAGCTACATAGTTTTGAACAAACTTTGGTCGACAATTTGATTGGTTGAACTGAAATGCTTATGTCAGGGAAGACTGGAGTTGAGTAGTTTCCTTTACGAGATCTTATTGTGACCCTTATGTGCCTCTTTAACGCGATAGTGGGACAATCAATCACAGTCTTTCTGTGCAAATGCTAATTGGCTTTGTAAAGGCTAAGCATTTTTCTTCGCTTGTACAACTAGGTAGAATGCACCTTGCAAATCATCGTCTGTTCACAAATGCACTACCGTTCTGATGAATCCACTCCAGTTATCTCAGACTCTTTTTCCGCCATACATCCGAATCCCCTCGGTTCATTCCCACGCTCTCTTTATTCACGTTGCGAATGCTTTCGCTGGCTTGTTTTCAGCTTTGTCTTCACTATCGCTGAATACCAGTGACCAAGGAAATTCCACTGAGTTTCTTTGTCCTTTCACCTGTCATTCAGTCTAGTAACGTTTATTACGCACACACAGGTGTATTTGGGACAACAAGTAAATTTGCTCCCTAGTGTGTTTCTTTCAAGCAACTCATATTAGAGTCAAGCTCAGTCACTGAATTACATCCACTACCTTATTTCAACGAGGTATACTGTCCCCGTTTAAATGGTGTCTCTGGACTATCGGCGCGAGGTCTTATAGGTGTTGGCATCCGCTGGGCCCAATGGACCGTTTCTGTATCAACGGTTCTGTCTGTACTATGAGAATGAGGGCTTCTGCTGTCAGCAGAAGCCGAAGCCGTGGATAAATCCTACCAAAGATTGTGAAGGATCGAAGTGATGGTGGCGTTGGACTCCTCTCAGGTAAATCTAGACACGGAATATGTGGGTGATAATTTTTCTCTCTGTGATTGTACTCCAGGCCTACAGAACTTACTTAACCGTCTGAGGGTCTAAGTGCCTTGGTCATGTGTTTTTTGCCTAGCCTTTGCTAATTGGTCCTTCAAGTTTGGCGGGAATCTCTACCTTAAGTCGTTGGATGGATATCGTCGTTAGTATTGTCTACCGAAGATGTTCCAGACTGGCACTGAAATGAAGAAAATCTCCAAGTGAATTTCCAAAGAGATGATATCTTTCGCTGCCCTACATTATCCGGTTGAAGAAATGGGTTGACAGAGGTAGGAGGTGGAAGCTATCTCACATGGATTGACGTATACGACGATGAATATCACCGATTATCGGTCATCTGTAACTCATGCTTGTAGTATGTTTATTTGTGCAGCATATTCACTATGTAGAAATACATAATTTCAAGTTCATACGAAACGTTCTTCTATTGAAGTTGCAACGAAATGTCTCTCGTTCCCGTCAAACTCACCTTTTCTTCGGTCCGTGAACACAGCCAAATTCGCTTTCTGCTCTCGTTGTCATTAAAGGCGGCTGTGTATCATGTGCACAGTGTTCACTCGCCAAATATACGGCGTAGTTGGAACAGCGCTATCCAAAACTACATTTGCATGACACTCGCGCACACAAAAGGATATAGGATCGTCTCACTTCCTGAAATGAAGCACAGGCAAGAAAAATGCACTGGCTGAATTATTCAAATCACTTCTGGTAACCTCATTGCCGCCAGGTTCATAAACATTTTGTATAATGATTCGAACCCAGATGCGTGTGATTAAATCTTCGAATGTGACGACTCAGTGGAATTCATCTGCTTTATTTGATGACAGAGTTGCTACGGATTGCACTCTCACTTGAAGATTTATCGGGAGACATCTTATGAATGTACTTTGAACTGCTAATCTGAACTCCGCTGACTCAGGTAAAGCCCATGCCTAAATTCTGAAAATCTAGTCAACTGGGCCAATCCAGTTTTCAATGGATCTTCACTGATTTGTTATTTTGGTTTCGCTTCTCGCATTTGAAGGTTGTCGCCGGTGTAAAATGACTACTCGAATGGTGTACTTGCAGATTTGTGCTGAAAGATTGCAAGCCTGGTCAGTGTCGGATCTATTAAAAATCGGTTGCTCCAATTCCTTGGAACAGTGAAATCGATCGTCTGGATGTCATGGCTATATGTTAGCATGCTGTGTCCTGTTTTTTTAATCGACCATAGGTTACTGATTTACGCCATGGCGTTCTGTTCACTTATCTTCGTTTATCCTTTGGAGAGGGACAATCTGTCTAGTTTTTCTAGTGAACTTGGCAGACTTGCGGACTGCTTGGTCGTGAACTTTGATGAGGTGGTTGAGAAATTACCCTCGAGAACAATGTGCTTTGCACACCTCTGATTCATCCAGTTTCATCTAATAGATCAAGTCTTGTGGCAGTCCACTTAATGATTGACACTCGTTGTCCCACGGCAGATTAACGATGAATGAATGGGTGCGCGAGTATCAGTGGTTTAGGTAGGGCTGGTTCCTAATAACCATCCCGGACTTTACCAAGGCATTCCTGGAGAACGCGAAAGAGCGCCATTTTTCTAGAAATGTACTGAGAAATTTCTTTACTAATTAAGGAAATACCCTGTTATTGTTGGTTTGTGCGCTGAGCTGAGCGATTTAATTGCATGCGTTCCATCACCAATCGATGTGACATCGTGATTGCGTTGTTAGGGCGAGGAGTGGAGCAGTGATTGTGCGGTGATTAGTGGTGTGTGTTAAAACGAGTGATAATAGCCGGGGTTTGACCTTTATTAATGCACTGCTGGTTGCTGATGTCGATAATACAATTCAGAAAGTATATGCACTAATAAAGGATTTTAGTATAGTTGACAATGGTGAGATACCACACGTATGAAAATAAATACGAGGCAAAATGGGAGCAGGTCAAAAGAGGAACTTATCGTCTGTGAGAGTTATTTGGTGAGAGTCCGGACGGCGGGAACGTGTTTTCTCCGCAGTATGACTGCTATACGTGTTCCATAATTGTTCGTGGACTTGTGGAGAGTGGTTGACTTCCTGCTCCCTGCGCGCACGCGAGTGTGTTGCGTTGGGTCGAGTTATATGCCTACTTATTGTGTGCAGTGTGAAGATAGGGGTGTCCCTTCGTGCTTGATGCTTGCACGAACATGAATACAACTTGACCTGATGTGGTTGAATTTCGTAAGTCTGGCGTATGACGCAAGTGGTAGCCGCGTAAACTAAAATGGATGGGAAGTTGCAGTGTACATGTCGGCTGAAGTTGCAAGTGGAACAGGAATTGCCACGTGGTTTGAGTGTTTGTGACGCGGGATCTGATGAGTGACCTCTACACCTTCGGTCACGATCGAGCGGTTCCATTTGTCTGTCTATTGTCCTGTGTCCTGATTGGTCGGTGACCACATGATCTTTGATTTTGGCATCCCTCGTCCCCTGTTCGGTGTTCACTGAGTTCCACTTCGTGAACATTGTTGATCTGATTCCAAGCTTGTTTCCTGGTTGGTTAATCCGGTTGTTGTTGCTTCCTTCCAATGTTCCGGCTGAAATATTGATCCTTTGCATGTGGTGGTGAGTAAAATTGAATCTAGTTCAGCACGTCGGTTGATCGAATCTTTCTTAGAGTACCTTGTTTTCAGGTATTCCCTTCTGAGTCTCGTGTCTCCGAATGCTAAGAATTTTACGTTCTCCAGGTTGCACTTGTGACCTTATTGGTCTTCATCTAAAGGTATCAAGAATGGAGGGTCACGTCTCCTGATGACCGCGTTGTAAACCTATCGACGCAAGTTAGAAGATGCGAACTGCCGTTGGATGGGGGAAGTGGACCAACAATGTCAAAGATAAACGTTGAAAGGATGGTAACGAAACTCTGGTAAAGTGGTCGAAGATAAACGTTGAGGGGATGGTAACCAACAGTTCTTTTATTCGTGGGCATAATTTCTCCTCAGTTTACCTAGCGTAGAACTTGTATTTTTGGCCGTTGATTTGATATATCATACTGCTCCTCTTAGCAGCTATTGTTGTTGAGATATCTTCTTCAAGATTATCTTTTGGTTGATTGAATGGTTATTGAATTATTTCAATATCTGACTTGTCTCTGATATACACAGGTTCCCAGAATCCCATGCTTCAAAACATCCAAGCATGGTAGCCGGTTGTAGTTCAAACTTAGTATTGAACAGTTCGTGCCCATTGTGTGCTGTACCGTGCCTTATCTTCATGACTGCCTCTTAGGTCCGGCAATAAGTCAGATAAGCAGATCTGAGTCATTTCCCAATAACGAAGTTCTACGAAAAGAATGGTGGTTTCTCTGTGACGAGCGGTTCCATCCAGATGCACTGGCTTGCAGTTGATAGATGAAGAATACACATGGGAGCAAGAACTGTTCCCACCTTGAATATGTACATCTATACGATGTGTTCTTCATTAGATTCATTAGGGTAGGGGCCGCGAAAAAAGGGATAACGGGTACGGAGGATTCTTCAGTGCAATAAGTTAAGATCATCAGTGTGTATCCAACACAGCTGCTTGTTCTGTTTTTTGTCTAGAAAAGGGTTGTGTACTGCTGAGTATATAGAAGTTACCTTTAAGATGGGAAATGCTTTTGGACTTAGGAAGCAGTCACATAGAAGGGTGAATTTTATGCCTATATATTGCATGTATTCTTGAAAGGGGCTTCGAGTAGTTTTCGATACCTAGTGGGAAACTAATAACACATTGTGCAGCCTCGTGTGCTTGGCATAGTCCTCAGAACCTGCAAAAACGGATCCCCCAAATTCCGTTGTTAAAGCCCCAAGACTTAATG